CTGGGATGGACTGGGATGGACTGGGATTGAACTGGGATGAACTGGGATGAACTGGGATTGAACTGGGATGAACTGGGATGAACTGGGATGGACTGGGATGAACTGGGATGGACTGGGATGGACTGGGATGGAACTGGGATGGACTGGGATGGAGTGGGATGAACTGGGATGGACTGGGATGAACTGGGATGGAACTGGGATGAACTGGGATGAACTGGGATGAACTGGGAGGGAACTGGGATGGACTGGGATGGACTGGGATGGACTGGGATTGAACTGGGATGAACTGGGATGGACTGGGATGGACTGGGATGAACTGGGAGGGAACTGGGATGGCCTGGGATGGACTGGGATGAACTGGGATTGAACTGGGATGGACTGGGATTGAACTGGGATTGAACTGGGATGGACTGGGATGAACTGGGGGCGACTGGGATGGACTGGGATGGACTGGGGGGGACTGGGATGGACTGGGATTAACTGGGATGGACTGGGATGAACTGGGATGGACTGGGATTGAACTGGGATGGACTGGGATGGACTGGGATGGACTGGGATGAACTGGGATTGAACTGGGATTGAACTGGGATGGACTGGGATGAACTGGGATTGAACTGGGATGAACTGGGATTGGAGGGGACTGGGATTGAACTGGGATGGACTGGGATTGAACTGGGATTGAGCTGGGATTGAACTGGGATGGACTGGGATTGAGCTGGGATTGAACTGGGATTGAACTGGGATGGACTGGGATTGAACTGGGATGAACTGGGGGAGACTGGGATTGAACTGGGATGGACTGGGATGAACTGGGAATGAACTGGGATGAACTGGGAGGGTCCCCAGGGGATCCCCAATCCCAGTTTGGGGCATTCCCAGGTGGATCCTAAATCCCAAATTTTGGGGCTTTCCCGGCAGATCCCAAATCCCGAATTTTGGGATCCCTGAGGGGACCCCGAACCCATCCCGGGGCTCCCAGGAAGGGAATTCCCAATTCCCGGGGCTCCTTTTCCCAGGAATCCCCTCCCCGCCCCGCTAATGAGATGCAAATGATTCATTTGCATATTCACAATCTCATTTATTTGCCGGGATCAGCCAGGTGACCCAAAAACCGGGAATTTTCCTCCCCAATTCACAGAATTCTGATCCCATATTTGGGGATTTTGGGGCCTCCTTGGTGGCGTCGGAATTCCCGGAATTCCCGGAATTCCCAGAATTCCCGGAATTCCGATCCCGGCCCGGCGCCCTCTGGGATTCCTTTCCTTCCCGGCACGGGAAAATCCCGCAGCGCTTTTGGGATCTGGGATTTTGGGATTTCCGCTCAAATTCCTTGGAATTCCCGAGGGTTTTGGTCCTTCCTTGGGTTGTTTGGATCCCCAAATCCTGCTGGGAATTCCCTGTCCCCTCACCCGTTACTCACTTGTTACTCACCTGTTCCTCACTCGTTACTCACCCGTTCCTCACCCGTTCCTCGCCCATTACTCACCTGTTCCTCACTCGTTCCTCGCCCGTTACTCACCCCTTACTCACTTGTTCCTCACCCATTCCTCACCCGTTCCTCACTTGTTCCTCACCCGTTCCTCACCCGTTACTCACCCGTTCCTCACCCATTCCTCACCCGTTTCTCACCCCTTACTCACCCGTTACTCGCCCATCCCTCACCCGTTCCTCACTCGTTCCTCACCCGTTACGCACCCGTTACTCACCCGTTCCTCACCCGTTACTGACCCCTTACTCACCCCTTACTCACTTGTTCCTCACCCGTTCCTCACCCGTTACTCACTTGTTCTTCACCCGTTCGTCACCCATTCCTCGCCTGTTCCTCACTCGTTCCTTGCCCGTTCCTCACCCATTACTCACCTGCTCCTCACCCGTTCCTCACCCCTTACTCACCCCTTACCCCTTACTCACCCATTACTCACCCCTTACTCACCCGTTACTCGCCCGTTCCTTGCCCGTTCCTCACCCGTTCCTCACCCGTTCCTCACCCGTTACTCACCCGTTCCTCACCCATTCCTCACCCCTTACTCACCCGTTACTGACCCCTTACTCACCCCTTACTCACCCCTTACTCACCCGTTCCTCACCCCTTACTCACCCCTTACTCACCCCTTCCCCAGGTGTGGCCATGGAGGGGCTGCGGGGCCGGGACCCCCCCTGTGCCCGGAACATTCCAGCCCTGTCCGAGGAGGAGGAGGAGGAGCCAGGTGAGGAGGAGCCAGGTGAGGAGGAGGAGCCAGGTGAGGATGAACCAGGTGAGGAAGACCCAGGTGAGGAAGAAGCAGCTGAGGTTGAAGACCCAGGTGAGGATGAAGATGGAGGTGAGGAAGAACCAGGTGAGGAGGAGCCAGGTGAGGAAGAACAAGCTGAGGAAGATCCAGGTGAGGAAGAAGCAGGTGAAGATGAAGAAGACCCAGGTGATGAAGACCCAGGTGATGAAGACCCAGGTGATGAAGACCCCGGCGAGGATGAAGACGCAGCCCAGGAAGACCCACCTGGATCCCTCCAGGTTCTCCCCGCTCCTCGCCGGCCCCGCCTTTACCTGCGGCCCCGCCCGGCGCCAGATGAGCCGGGCCCCTCCCACCTGAGCCCCTGGGACCAGGTGAGCTCCCACCCCTCACCCGAAGCGGGCGGGGCCTTCGTCCACCTCATCGACGAGCGCGGCGTCTACTCC